TCTCTAGACTGGACAACCCTTCCTGTCTGAATTGTAATAACCAGCCCCATAGGAACAAATGAGGAGTCTGCACATGCAACTGCATCCATATCTGGTATCTTTTGCAATAGCTACAGTACCTCGAAGTACAGTGCGTGACCGATCTGATTAAATGTTGGCCGAAATTCTGAAATGCGTTTTCGATTAGGAAGGTGGGGTTGTAATGCTGCTTAACAAGCAACATACTCCCATCGTATATCGGACTCGCTAGAATGTCGGCTTTTGAATGCACTTCATTTTGACCTCCTATAGAAGCCACATCCGATAAAAAATGACTACTTAAGTTGCATATATTTTCCCATTGATTTTCGATGGTTTTATAAATTCAAATATTTGTTATGGAAAACACGCGCAAAAATATGCTTTCTTTTACTTGTTTGGTAGAAAATAACACTTCCTTTACATTTTATACTCAAAGAAGGCGTATGTTTAGGTTTTAAAAAAGTTTCTACTTGTGAGATTTTTAAAACCTTGCGATGTCCATACATACAGCGTCGCACATCTCCGTTTACCAATGATCTTCGTGAAATGCACAACATAGTCCACATTCATTGCAAAATTCTATGAACTCAAGACGGTATCTTCTTAAAGGTATAGAGGAATATATGATTTTACTTGTGCGGAAAGCATGCATCTTGTAGAATGGCATCGCTAAATGGTAACGCAGCAACTGATCTAGCCCAAAGTTATTGGGGAATTGGGAAACTTTTTTAAAACCTAAATATACGCTTTTTTCGGGTATGAAATGTAAAAATAATGTTATTTTATACCAAACAAGTAAAAGAAAGCATATTTTTGCGTGTTTGTCCTAAAAATATTCGATTTACCATGCATGCTACCTAAATAGTCATTTTTTGCCGAGTGCAGCTTCTATAGGAGGTCGAAAAGACATGCATTCAACAGCCGACGTCCTGGCGAGTCCGACATTTTTATATGATTATGCCGCATGGTAATCAATATTACAACCCCACCTAAGTAACTCTTCCTGATTGGAAACGCATTTCAGAATTTCGGCCGAAATTTCATCAGATTACTCACGCACTGTAGATGGGCTACCTCCGCAAACCAAAAAGAGGATGTACGGGTTGAATCGCACAGCCAGTAAACGTGTCGGCCATGGCTATGAAGTGCGGCACTCGGCGCTAGATCGAGATCTCCGCAGTTCGAGCTTCCGCCAGGCGACCTGTGCGGCCTGTGCGAATTCAGCTACCCATAGCCTGTATCAGTCGCAACATAGTTGACGGTCATCAAGCCATTAAATTGCCTTCATCTTTTCTGTGCAACGCACAGTCTGGAAGGAGCAAATTTTGCATCTGCCGTCAATTGTTGATGCTGCCAGTAGACTACCTATATACAGGAATAATTTTCACTGATAACAACTGTTACCAGAGGAACGAACACGCCTAATCTGATGTGTAATCTTGATTTTTTTGCTCTTTCGCGTGTGTACCGTAGGCGGTATTTTTTGCTATTTGCTGCATAGTTCTAGATTAGAACAGTTTCACCAATTAATGTGTTGCAAGTGGCGAAACAGGATATATCAAACCATTTTTATTGAGGATATGCAAAGTTACAAATTGCATACAGTAGCAGAACTTGATGCTTAGGAGTACTTTTTTCCCTATCGTAGTTTGGTGCGATTTCGTAAAGGAAAAGATGTCAATTCTCAAATGAAGACAGAGACTTTTTTGTATTCTACCGATTTATTTTGCTAACATACGTCATAAAAATTTTGATCTTCGCACCCGTTTGCCCATTAGTAGGTTCAAAGCCAAGTAAGAAAATTATATGTACAGATGTGTCAAAGTGGTATGGTCGACAACACCAAGATTCCCAAATCAGAAGTCAGGGAAGACGGATTGGGTTGGGCAACATTTACTGATGAGAAAGAGCGTACAAGAGGCCGCAAAATTGTCTGCCCAGGTCAGTTGTTTGTCTGTATTCGCCGTTGAGGTTATTAGCCCTCCAGCAAGTGTGTGCCTTCGCTCTGCCTCAGTTAGCGTCCTCCAGCCAATCAGAGGAGGGGTACCGTTGATTGGCTCCGAGCACTCGCGGGACTAGCGACAAGCCTCGCGAGGTCCCAGCAACGAATCAACAGGGGGCGTGAGGCGGAAAGGAAGACAGCTGATACGGTGGCAGTGAACAAGGGAACAGACAGCTACAGATGTCCCGCATAGTTAGAAATTTAGTGCTCTGTCCAGGCGAATCAGATGACGTCCTTGCTGAAAGACTGGGTCAGTTTATGGAATAGGAAGGGGTTCGGGCCTTAAAAACTTCCCCTTTTTTACAACTGGAGTTTTGTGACTGAAAAAAAAACAGTAATAACATTACTAGACAATCCTTTGCAAACCCTTCGGTGCCACAGCTTTGGGCTCGGCGTAAGTGCTTGATCGGAGCTGGATTGACCTCGCATCCCATTTCTCCCATGCTCCTGTGGCTTGTGCGAGTTAATTCTTCTAAATATGAGCCAGAGCGCAGTGGCAATTCAATACGGAGACACCACCTGACAGTTCGACCATCGTTCCCGACGCTGTCCATCGTGTGCCCCAGAACAGGATGGGCGCAGAAAACGGTGACTTTTTTCCCTCTCACCTACCTGAGCCCGGTGCCAAGACAGTCAACACGACCGGAAAGTGACCCCGCCCCAGGGACGCAGCAGACAGTTTGACCGTCGATTTCGACGATGTCCACCGTGTGTCCCACAGCAGGGCGAGAACAGGGACGGCGACTTGCACGTGATTTCTTCTATAATTATAGCAGACTTGTGCAGCATCTGCCACACTCCCGCCTCCCCTCCCGCCTGGGCCCATTGTCAGGACGGAGTCAAGAAGGCCGGAGGCGGGAGAGGATGCAGATGGCTGGCGTGGCAAAAAACCCGCACTTAGGCGTACCATCACACTCCCTGGTCCACAACATACACTGACTAGGATTTCATAATCAGGAAAGAGGGGGGCCAGCACGGATCCCGATGGGTGCGGCGTGAGACTGCATCTGGGCGTGCTAACAACCCCAAACACACACACACATACTCTGGTTTCAAAACAATGAGAAGTGTCACAGAGGCCACATTAATTAAACATCCCACGGTGACTCTATTTCAAAAGAGATGCGAGTTGTCCCTTTAGCTGGAAAGTTTTCTAACCACAACCGGTAGCAGGCAGGGTAATCCAAACTAATTCGGATAGTCTACACACTGGTCCAAAATCGTAGCTCATAGTAAGTTCTAGTAACCACCTGAGATGACTCAATCGCTCTATTTAGGAAAGCTCTGCTTATTCTGCCACGCAAGATAGGGCTAAAAAATCTGCCCCAAAATGTTTGTTTAAGCCGCTAACACAGCGGACCGTGGACGCTTGATTTCATACCAGCGATCGAAACATAAACTGAAACGGTTCCTGCCCACATTCCCTAAGCTAATGTCACTCAGGTAACTTTGTATGGTCGTTCCCTTTTAGATAGGCTAACAGCCTATCAATCTGAAAGGAAAGCAGCCCTGGTTGCTTGCGAACCGTCTCGACGCAAGGTGAACACCCCCAATGGGATGGGTTTTTCACGCAGGACATATCTCCCTCTCGGGCGAACGCTCAAATGCAGAGCGATATGGTACTGAGGTCGTCTTTGCCGCCGAGGACGCATTGCGGAATAACTGCCCTGCCTCCTTCAGGGGACCGGCGAACGTTTCATGATCCTGCACCTATCTCTCCGAGATGGAAAAATTATGTGAGAAGGACGAGAGATCCAGTCCAAGCGGTCCCAAATCTTTACTGGCGCTCCTGTACGTGAAGAACGTCTAGGAAGCTGCCAATCGCCTTCCCATTCCACTTGGAGTTGGGGTTGCACACAGGCCGGAGACCCCCCATAAGGCGACAGGTCATGAAGCCAATAGATCCACTGCCATGGCAAGAAACTTTTAGGGCCGTTTGCCGGACCTGGTTCAGTTCTGTACAAAGTAAACATTTCAGAGACGGAACCAACGTGCCACCGGCTGGCCGTAACGAGGATCTACCATTCAAGACGAAGTGTAAAGCCAACTAAACTAGGCATGAATACAGATTGTCAGTTCTAAGGGCCCTCCATAGCGTAGGGAACCGCACGGCTGACCGGGACCCCTGCCGTCGGTACTGGTGAAGGACAGTCGCCTTCGATGTTCTGACGGTGTGTTTCTTATGTGTGAACACGAGCTAATCAGCGGTCCCCCTCTGAACCTTTGTCAGTTATCGTAAAATGCATCAAAAATAACGCACCCTCAATGAATTCTGTTAGTCATTGTGAACACTTCTGCCTCCGCATAAAATTCAAGGAGCCCTAATTTGGTCGCCGCTGTCATTTGCGTCTAATCCGGCAGTCAAAGACGGGCCGACGGTTCTTCCAACCGTCTTGGATGCGGGAGTCACAAACCCATGCGTCATCCAGAACGGAAAACGAGAGCAAATGAATTCCCTCAACCTAAAATCATTGTGCACCAAAAGAGGCAAGTTGAGAAAAAATCGGTTAATAACCACACAGAGAATTCTCCACTCAGACGGACCGCTATCAGATGCCTCGATATCCCCCTCAAGCCAGGATGACGGTTCGGAACAACATAATGGCTGAGGCCTCGAAGAGGAATAGAAGAGCAGTTGACGAGATTGGCATTTTCACAAGTGTTAAAAATAAGTTATTCACAGAGGGGCTTTCAGCTGAGCATGTGCATTAATCGGCAGTCGTGATTGCGCTATTTGGGGAATGAGGATAAAAAGAGACAGAGGAAGATAAAAGAAAGAACAAAAAGATGAGAAGTTGTGAACTGCCGGCGCGGGCATATGCTGGATGCAGGGGCTCGTGTTTCTTTGGTAGCGCAGGCTAACGCGAGCTTCGTCACAGCCACCATAACAGTCTTCAACAATTTCCTGCTGCGACCGGTGGAAGGGAGGAAATTCAGGCAAACTGCAGACCCCCCGGGGACGATGATCCTGTCCCTCTCAGTTGGTGAGAAACTCCTGCAAGAGGGTTTGCCTATGCTTCTCGCAGATGTTCATTTTGTTTAGCAGCTCACCCTTGTCGGTGATCTCCGCGTGAGCAATCTTCCAGGAGAGATCCTCAACCTCGGCCTCCAGGAGGCCCTGCTGGTACTCAAACAGGGCCAGTCGCTGCATCGCCTTGGGTGGATAGTAGGCATAGGGATATGTGTACTTCAGGGTGTAACGACACTTGCGCAGGGTCTCCGCGGCGGTCAGCAGGTACTGCCAATCGATCCAGGTACCCTCGCAGTTCAGCACCTTGGACTGAATGCGCGACTGGATGGTGGCGTAGTGTTCCTGTTCCAAGCGTAGGCTGCGTTCGTGATTCTCCCACTACAAGAGAGATTATTGAGAGTAAAAAAAAAGGAAGGCTGACAAATGAGGCAGAGATCAGCAAATATGAGTGGTTGCCAGGGCGTTATGGCAATTCGCATATCCCTAACGATGATCATCACCACCACCACCACCACCACCGCCACCACCACCACCATTGACCATGGACGCAACCCTGACTTGCGCGTGTGGCTCTGTGCACCCAGGTATAGCAAGGAGTCAATTCACAGTATGCACGGTTCACAGCTACAGGGCGTGACCGATCTCATGAAATGTTGGCCAAAATTCTGGAATGCGTTGCCAATTAGGAAGGATTACTTGAGTGGGGTTTTTATGCTGATTATCAAGCAGCATAACCCAATAACATTTCGGACTCGCCAGGATGTCGGCTTTTGAATGAACTTCTTGTTGACCTCCTGCAGAAACCACACTCGGTAAAAAATGACTGCTTAATTGGCATGCATTTTTCCTATTGATTTTCGGTAGTCCTACAAATACAAATATATTTTGTGGAGAACATGCACAAAATATGCTTTCTTTTGCTCATTTGGTAGGAAATCACATTGTCTTCATATTTTATGCCCGAAGAAAGTGTGTATTTTGGTTTTAAAAAAGTTTCTAACTATGAGATTTTTACAACTGTGCGATGTCCACGCATACAAGACCGCACACGCCCGTTTATCGATGCTCCTCATGAAATGTACAACACAGTCCGGATCCACTGCAAAATTTCATGAATTCTATGTGGTGCCTTCTCAAAGGCATGGCAGAATATATGATTTTCCTTACGCTGAAAGCATGCACCTTGTAGACTGAAGTTGCTAAACGCTGATGAAATGGCAGATCAGGCTGAAAATTATTCGGGAATTGGGAAACTTTCTTAAAACCAAAATATACACTTTCTTCGGGCATGAGGTACGAAGACAATGTGATTCCCTGCCAACTGAACAAAAGAAAGCATATTTTTGTGCATGTTCTCTATAAAATATATTTGAATTAAAAAATGCATGCCACTCAAGTACTCATTTTTTACCGAGTGCGGTTTTTACAGGAGGTCGAAACGAAGTGCATTCAAACGCCGACATCCTGGCGAGTACGAAATGTTATAGGGTTATGCTGCATGATAATCAGTATAACAACCCCACTTAAGTAATCCTTCTTAATTCATTCCAGAATCTTGGCCAACATTTCATGAGATCGGTCACGCACTGTACCTAGACTGAACATGCCGAGCTTACCATGCTCACCCAAAAATGGTACTTGGAAAAAAACTATGCGACCGTTTAAATGCTCCGATGCCCCAATTCGCGCGTGGAATTATGCCTACATCGGCTGCAGATACGAAAAAAGGAAGAATCGTTCAGGATGTTTAGTGAGGAACAAACGGTAATGTCGTGAGCAGAGGGACGAAAACCAACACACAAGGGTCCACAGACTACTAGTTTGGTGCTAGACCAGAACGCCGTCAACTGCAACACCAGAGTAAAACGAGCCTGCTTATCTACGACGCAGACGACAGTTCGGCCGTCGTACGTAACGACAACCCTTAGCCTCGAGGAGAAATAGGGACGCAGTGATTATTTAAATCGCAGTGAGGAAGGCGTTCGCAGCACTGACTACACTCCTACGACGGCTATCGCCTCAGGGCGAGTGGGTATGAGAGAGTGGGCGCAGTGGTTGACCGGGCATTAAGTCCTATCTACTTGCGCCACGCACGTGTTGACCCCCCCCCAATCTATACGGAAGTAAGCTCGCTTACTTGGCGCACACACCGGTGACTGTCGCCATACTTCATTCCAGAAGGGCACATTATCCTACTAGGTGACAACCCTTCAAGCGTAACACGTCACAGAAAAGCCCTTTTTCTCGTGCGGAATACATTTCTGGGCTAGTTTATCAGCGAAAGTAAGAGCTATCCCATAATCTGGCAATCTCCCCTAGGACACAGTTGCGCACTTGCTCTTCTCTAGCAGAGATCGGCAATCTAAACGAGAAGGCTTTAGTAGCAAAAAACAATCGCTAACAGGAGATTTGGTTTTCGGTGCGCGTAAATCAGGCGGAACAATGTGCGGATAATAAAGCTGTTTTAAGAGAAACAGAAGTTCTTTGTTTTTTAAAATTCCGGTTCGAAAATCTGTGCCCTAAAAGGCAGCAATAAGACCGACAGTTCACTGTCTTAATGCATCAGTGATTTTTAGGCACAAACAAAACATTCCACGGGTGACCACAACAACGTCAACCATCTAACGAGCACTTGAACCTTCGGTTGTACGGCAAGATACTTTTGTGTAGTCTACTTTCAGCGTAATTACGAAGCCCAATGGGCACCACGTCGACCGTCTATAAAATATTCCGGTATTTATGTCGTCACTCAGAGGTGCATTTATAACCGCAGAACCATAACGAAAAAGGTCCCAAAATAGAAAGGGAGTTCTTTGTTTGCGGCTGGAAGATTGTCATCATATTTCAAAGAAGTGCATAAGTGGACAAAGTGCCCCAGTATTTTCCCAGGCTCTACTTCGAAAAAGTATGAGAGTACGGGTATTCATCCGTTAAATATTCTCACAGTGTACTCTCTAAAAAGATAACTTATTAGATGTAATTCATTTGATTAGGATCATAGTTATCGTGGGCTTTCGTTGTGGATGAAACTTCATGTCCAGGTGAGCCTACTAATATGACCGAAAGGGCTATCTGCGTGATAAAGAACGCTCGAGAACTCACTTCTAAAGCCTGTAAGAACTGCCTCATTTGGAAGGTTCTAGTAGACAAAAACTACAGAATCCGTCTTCCTAAGCAGCCGATTGAGAACATCGAAAACCGCGAAGTATTCACTGGCACTACAAGGATGCCTTAAAGACAGCGAACTCCGCCATCGCTAAAAAGAGCACAGAAATGCTACGGAAGAAAAACTTTCTTGATACACAGCAAATTGTGTGCTTATGACTGCATGCGTTTACTACATTCCAATTTCGCAGGCAATGGGCGGCCTCTCGACCTGTGACCTTATGGAAACTTTTATGCCTCCGACGTCTCTAGTGGTGAAATCTTTTCTGCCGTAGTCAACCACATCTCGAGCAGCGCAAATCGAATTTCCGTGACGCCACTTTAAAACGCAGCATCAAACGGTTGACTAGTTGCCATACTGCGTGGTACACTCGTTACTGATGAATATTTAGCCCGTGAAATACCTAACGGTTTTTTCAGACGTTTATTAGCTCATGAATTTTTATTCATTCGGATTGTTCCATGAATATACATCATGTACCTCTGCAAATTAGGTTTACTCACCTAACACGGCTTTTCGCGTTCTTGGTACTTGCGTTTTTTAAGAAAATCTTCACTTCTAACCAATGCGACATCACTTTCGATATTTCTTCTACGTTTTCAGTTAACTGAAGGTCCCTCATCAGTAATAAAAAATCACCTAATTATGAACTTTTTAAAGACTGAAATATACTCTTCCTCCAAGTATAAAGCTTAGATAAGACGTTATTTTCTAACAAGTGAGTAAGACAACGAATACTTTTGTGCGTACTTTTTATCAAATATAGTTGAATCTATTAGGCCAGCAAAAATTTAGTCATTTTTTACGGTGACGTTTTCTCAGAAGGCCGGAAAGAAGCTTGTTCAAAAGCTGGTATCCTGATATAGCTGAGATATCTTGGAATCAGTAACGTTACGAGTCTACTTAAGTTATCTTTTTGAATCGGAAACATTTTAAAATCTTGGTTAACACTTCATGAGATAACACATCTACTGCATGTATACTATCCAGCGCACCCATGATGTCACAAAACTCACACACTTTGTACAGAAAGGTTGATACGAGACCCCGTCCTTTTGTGGGAGATTATATCCGTCTGAAAATTACTATTCACTGTCCTGTGATATTTTGGTCAAGAAACGCTTCCGATTAAAACATTAAGGAGGTCCGTAGTAGTGTGCGTGTGCCCCCCCCCCCCACACGGGCCACGCAATAGGTGCGCTGGAGCAACCCAGTGGGCTTGATGGGAGTCTGGCATGTGTTATCGGGAATACGCATTCACAACTAACGCCAACATTGAGATGTGGTGGCACGCCAATGTGCAAGCTCACGTAGCGTCGATTGGAATCCCTGCTGCCCCCCCCCCACATTTTCTGCGTATAAAATCCCGGTCAGTGTACGTGGGACACATGTTCTACATCACAGGGCTGTGTTGGTGAGGTTAAGCCGCCTCGCCCTCTTGCGTATAAAATCTTGGTCAGTGTGTGTTGTGGGCCAGGGGGTGTGATGGTACGCCTAGTTGCGGGTTTTGACCATGCCAGATACCTGCGCCCTTTTCCGCCTTCGGTTTTCTTGACTCTGTCTTGACACCGGGTCCCGGTGGAGGAGGAGAGAGTGCGGTAGATGGTGCGCAAACCTACTATGACTATAAACTAACTCGCACAAGTCACCGTCCCTACTCTTACCCTGCTGTGGAGAAATCTTTCACAGTCGCGGATGATATAGGCTGAAATCAAAAAAGACCAAACCTGATTTGCTTGTCAGCTTAGTTTCCCACCGGCTTATCAAAAACGAATAAGCTACCGACCGGGGCGTCTCGGCAGAACAAGCTCCTCTCATTCACCCAAGGGAGTCCACGCTGGACATGAACAATGGAATTGTCCATCTTCAGACCTTAGTAACAAAAAAACACTCGTCTACCGCCTGTAACTATGCTAGCTGAATCTCGTGCTCCTTGCGCAAGTACCTGCACCAGTAAACAGCAACCTGAGAACTTAAGCACCTTAAACACGATAGTGCAGCTGGAATAGCCTCCCATCCGACGAGTAGGGGGTAGCCGAAGCCCCCAAAGTCAGAACTGTTGCGTCAGATATTTGAGGAGACCCGACATTCCGCTATCGGACAAGTGTGGGGTGATACCGTCTTTGTGTCAATTAATCGCATTAAGCGCAGCACGTCAACTCAACCCTACTCAGGACTGGCGGATTGGCTGCAATAGGGTCTTCGCAATGTGACCTAAATGGCATTCTCGAAGTAGGATTTGAGACTCCTTAAATGTAGCCAAAGGGGAGAGTGGTTATCCTCGTTCCTCGCGAAGAAGTATCAGTTAGCACCCAACGACCAAGAACTGTGAACTTGGGCTGGTGTATAGGAGGCTGCATAGCTGGAGACGGAAATAGAGGTGATCATTTCGGGGAGTCCTAAACGTCCAGTATTCTCCTTATTCACCTAAACCGTTCCGAAAGGAAGCCAACTTATCACGAAGAATGTGTTTCTATCCACTTTTATCAAAGAAAATGTGTGTCACTTTGGACGGAAATCAGCAGTACCTTATATTCAGGCAACTGCCTATCCTAATAACTAAAATATGCCATGTTTGTGCAGCCTACGCCCACTTAAAGATGAAGCAGAATTTGAATAGGCATGTTAATTTCAAAAAAACCAAAGATTTTACTTTTGAAAAATCGAAACCATTAAGCTGTGTGATTTTATCCCTAAAAGCAGTACTGACGCCTATCGGCAATCTTCTATTCCCGTCTTTTTCTTGGCTTTACTTCGAAGAAGGATAAAGTGCGTGTACACTCGCCGGTGAAATGCCTCAATAAAACGTTTTCTTTTTTTCAAAAAGGCAACCTCCTGGAGGTCTTTGAAGATATTGTTTCGAACCGCTATCTGCATATTGTAGACAAAAACTACAGAACCTACCTTTTGGGCATTCGACTGAGAATACTTTAAACTGAAAAAAATTTACTAGCGTTTCAACGACACCCTGAAACCCAACGGACGCCACCGCCACCAAAAAACGGAGAAAATTTGTCAGAATGCACAGAAAATTACATGCTTATAATTACATCTGCTTATCTTAATTCAATATTTAATCGCTGACCAACCGTTCAACGTGTAATCTGACTAAAACGTTCGGATTCTATGATCGAATGGCAGGCAGTTGACTACTTGCTACGCTTGATATCACATGCACTAATTTTTAGGGGATTTCAGAAGTGAAGGTGCATAAAAGTCTGTCTTCGGACGTTTTTGTACCTATGCTGTCTTATCTATTTGTATAAACAGGCTTTATATACTGCTAAAAATCAAGTCCACTCATTTGACATGAATTTCCGAGCTTTTTACAATTCCGCTTCGCACTAAAAAAAGGCGTGTTAGTTGTAACCAGTGTAATATTTCTGCTATGTTTTAATTCAACTAAAGGTCGTTCATTATCCACTGGGAGTTCTGATCGGTGAAGTTGAGCCAACTTTCCACTGAGTAGAGATTTTTTTGTTAATTTACGCACATTTCCGAAGTTACATCCACTGCTTTACTTACCCGCTCGTAGTAGAAGAAATATCGCTTCAGGTATTCCCGAGCTCTGTTCCGGGCCGACTCCTTGGCAAGGTCAGCATTCTCCATGTACTTGCTGCAGACATAGAACTGGGCAGAATGGGTTTGCCATGCTAAAACAAGGCAGCACAGAGATTAGGAGTCAGACAAATTCTTGAGCTTCCAGAGTTGAATAAAAATCTACTTTGCCTGCAGTCGGAAAGCACAATTCCGTGTCCCTCTTATTGCAAACTTTTTGTCTGGCGTGAGAGTTTAAGTAGAGGGGTTATCGCTTTCAGTAAGTGGTGCTGAGCTGTCCCACTGACTCGTCTGTGTTAAGAATGTTTACTGGGGCCTAAGATCGGCTCAAAAGCCTTTTTCAATCTTACTTTCGTTTGGGACAGGAGCTAACGCTCGAGCAAATACTTATGCGTGAAGAAGCAAAGGGAATGCACACTTACGTCCCAAACAGACCCAACAAAAGGAGTAGTGACATTTGGAGCATTGCTGAAATTAGAAAAACCGGTAACATTAGAGTCTGCATGAGAATGAACACATAAACTGGGTGGGGTAAAATGAAACGCTGAAACAACTCCGGAGGTATGAAAAAGAACATGAAGATGCTGGAGGAGGAGGAGGAGGAGGAGGAGGATGAGGAGGAGGAGGAGGAGGAGGAGGGGGAGGGAATTGAATCGGATATTGCGATACGACGCACCATATGATTGCAGCCGCCGTTTTTTTCTATACACACCCCGCAGTGCGGGCAGTCCTTTGTGTGAGCGGCCATGTAGGTGGCAGTTCCCGAGTCGTCACGGCACTTTTGGAGCCACCGCTTAATGGTCTCACAGTCAGTGGGGGCGTGATATTCCATGCCACAGGCGAAGCAGAAGTCAGTACCACAGGTTTCACAATGGACCTTTCTGGCACGAGGTTCTTCCAGCGCGTAAACAACGCTGGAGCAGCGCGAGTTGGTGCATGGCCGAAGTCTTGGATGAGCCTGTAAGTGCAAAAATAATTCTTCTACTTAGGCTGAGTAAGTAGACATTTAAGCATCAAAATGATTTCTAGTACGTTTGTCGGGCAGTTCGGAGACAACGCCGGGTGCTTAGAGAGGTTTTCAAACAAACCACAAAAGAGACCGAGATTTCACAGAAGACACAACGTCGCTGCAGGCAGGCCCATCAACTTCATGCGTAGATTAGATAAAAACTATCTAATTTGGGGTGGTTGGGCACCAGTAAGTCTAGATAAATCAAGACGAATAAAGACACCCAGCCCAACTAACTGCCGAGGACTACTAACTTATGAATATTGGGAACTCAAATGATACGTATTTTTGGGCCTTTCTGTGGAAGCCAGTTCGACACGTTTTCCCACTAATCGCCAAAGGAAACGTCTAATGAATAAGAAGAAAGGTAATTTTGTCTGAAAACATGTAAGAGATTGGATGAACTTCTCTTAATTTCTTGTGAAATTCAGAACTGACTCCATCAGTTAGGTTTTTGGCAAACTACTTAAACATTGGTGGTGGTGGTGGTGGTGGTGGTGGTGGTGGTGGTGGTGGTGGTGGTGGTGGTGGTGGTGGTGGTGGTGGTGGTGGGGAAGATGTGATTCCCAGGCAACACCTCGAAAGAGGCGTTCACCGGGAGGGATTGACTGTTGTCCTCTTGTTTCAAGCCGGGATTTCGGCTACCCCGCTTCAGATACTTGGGGAGTCCTGTGCATAGCTCTAATTACTTGGCGCCTGGGTCACAGGGGCATGGAACATGAATATCACCCATGAGTGTGAATCAGACCCCTGTTTCGCCGTGGTCTGTGTCGTTTCCGTCCTGGTTGGCCGTAGTTGGAGTCGATCGGCTGCGGTGGTCTCACGTCTTGACTGCTCTTTTTCCAAGTAAGCTAGCCTTGCGGACGTCTGTGTAGCACTATCCGCACCGTTCAAATTGCACTCACACTGTATGTATGGTGATTTTGAGGAAACTACTAATAAAAGGTTTGATACCTTCTCCTTGGCACCGGTTAGTCGGCAGAACACCTCACTAAAAATATTTTGCCAGGACCTCCACAGGATATATAATCATTTTAAAAAATCCAGCCTAAAACTCATGCTGGACCCCAAAGCTACTTTGACACTCAGATAAAAATTCAATGGAGGTATCCGGTATACAGGCGTCCGACCCAGGAAGCTTCAAGTCAGATCTTTCGCAAGCGGTCGCATGGCATGGGGTAAGCAATCACCGAATGATGTGCAGAAAAGGAAACTGGGATAGCCATTCCTGGTCTCTTGTACGTTGTCAGCACGCACCTGCTGTTCTCCAGATGCGGTAAATGGCTACACTGATAAAACACAAAGACCTACATTCAAGTGTTCGTAAATTTCAAATTATGGACCTCACGCAGTGAAGAAAACTTCGCACGTCGAATATGCTTCTGCATTATTGTATTGTCGAAAAACGAGACATTACAAGGTAAAATAGGTATTTGTAATAATGTAGAAAGGAAAGAGTGCTTTCGGCTTCAAACAGTTTTGATACCCTGAAAACAATAATTATGTCAGGAGACAATCTCTTACCTTGTCGCATAAATAATTACAAGGCATAAGCGAATACTCTAGATAACGGGGATGTAGCCGATTCAACTATCAGTTGCGAAGCAAGACGTTTTTGCGCGACTTTGTTTCAACTAGTAGTAGTAGTAGTAGTAGTAGTAGTATTGGTAGTAGTAGTAGTAGTATTGGTAGTAGTAGTAGTAGTAGTAGTAGTAGTAGTAGTAGTAGTAGTAGTAGTAGTAGTAGTAGTAGTATACGTTTATTTCTCTCGATTGAGGTGTGGATGGCTGGCTGGCTGGCTGACGACGGTCAGTGATGCCAGTCTAGTCTCTCTGGCCTTTGCCAGTATTTATTTTTTAACTGTCTTTATTCAGCTGTGCATGTCAGAGGAGAGTAACTAACACTTAAGAACTCATGGATATTTTCTCAATACAGTAGGTGACGTGTAGCATAAAACATTGACCGAAATTCTGAAATGTAATTTCGGTTAGAAAAATTGCTTAGGAAGGGTTGTGGTGATGATTACATGCTGGTAATTCGAAATCATTTCAATTGCAACAGGATGGCCGCTTCTGAATGTGCATCTTTCCGGCCGCCCTGCAAAAATTGCACTCTCTAACAAGCGGCTACTTAATTAGTATGAATTTGTTCCATGGATTTTCGATGCCTTTTTTATTGGAAATATGCACAAACCGTCCTTTCCTATGCACACTTTTAGAAAATTACATCGTATAGTATTCTACCCGAAGAAAGCATCTCTCTAGTTCTAACAGTAAGTTTTCAAATTCCCGAACAATTTCGAATCCGAACTGCCGTTGCACTAGCGTCCAGGGTTTCCAATCTACAAGTTTAAACTTCCCATTTAAGGAAGATCACATATTCCTCCGTGCTGATAAGAAGGTCACACATAAAGCCCAGCACTTCGTAATGGATACGGACCGCGGTATACGCTTGATTAGGAGCATTAATCAACTAACTAATATGCGGGTATTTTAATAGACACTTCACAACCAGTCTACAATTGTTTTTTCCTAATATTACCTTTATGGCACTCGTAATCACGTGACATCCGAAACCCCTGCTCTGAGGTCCGATTAGCACGAAATGGAGAAGAGTATAGGCGTGGCGCGGTAGGATGAGTATCTAGCCATGCCAGCCACCGCCCTGACCACGTCTAGCCACTGAAGAACGTAAGCTAAGAAACGAGAGTGAGGTATATGATGCGAAAATTCACATTCAGATCGTTGGCGCGATCTCCAGAACAGTATACTGGTCCTCGTCATTTGCGACTAGCAGACCATGGGCTTCTGTTCTACCGTAACCATTTGTGATGCAATTTTGCCCATCGCCCTCGACGGGGATCATGTTCAGGACGGGACTACAACGCTAACGAGTTGAGCAACGTCTTTCTCACTTCCCCCTTCGCAGATCCCATTCAGTTCTGGTGTTAAGGCTGAGTCTAGACAATTGGATTGGGTGCTGCAGCCGACCGTGTATATGCGCCCGCCATCTACACATGTCATAGCGTATTGCTAGTAACTCCTGTCTGCCAAAACTTTATTCTATAAACGTCCAGGCGCTTTTAGGCCTTTTGTAACGACATTCATTGTCAACCCTTCAGTCGGCATTCGGTCAGTGGCAGACGCCAAGGCGAAGCATAGCTAAACAGACCGAGGAACGCAAAGACAAGGGGGGACTTGAGGTCGGAATTTTCCACGTCTACCCGTTTTCCGTTAGACATCTCGGCGCCGTCACCAGCCAGGGCAGGGTTTGAGCGAGATGACATTCCAGAGTAACATGGCCGAGCCATCTCACAGCAAACAAGTGCGCAGGGTGCAGTTAACCGATTGTGTCAATACGGCCGTCAGTAGATGACGCAGTCGGGAGTCAAATTGAAGAGGGGGAAGCAAACATCATCGACAAACACTTACAGACCGCCTATCGCTTTTGACCGCACAGGTCACGTTTCACATTCGCATGAAAACATCATCATAACGGAAAGCTTGTACACTCGCAACTTGGTCTTCTGGCCGATGGCAAACGAATTTCAATGGGTTCGTCAGAGCTAAAGGTCATGAGTTCCTGGTGGGTCCGATGGTCGACCACGTCCAAAGTGTTCAACGTGTGGGAGCAGAAACTGTCCAGATAACCCTCGGGTTCTACTTTTTATCGACCGCAAAACATGAAGCGATGATCTTCCTCTCCGAGGCGTTTATTTTCGGGTGTCTTCCTGACCACATTGGACAAAAGCAGCCCTACTCCTGCCCCTCAGCACCATAGCAGCGACAAAGTAGCCACGATCCTTAATGCAAGAACCACAGCCAGGGTGGTCTGCCAACACGTGATGAGGAAGACGGCAACACAGTTGGTGGGACAGTGCTACAGTGCGGACAGTGCTACCCGTGAATGCTAAATAGGCCCTACATGGGACAGATTCTTCAGAGGGCTGACGCATAATGTGAGTAAGCAAATGCAGACATGTTGAGAAAAAGTGAGTACATTGTTGCCAACAACATTGGACGCATAAAATAGCACGAAAAAGGACCACCGAAGGTAACACGATTGGTAGGGCAAGAGACAGCCAAGGACTCACCGCAATCATCTCATTTTGCAGGATCTTGCGGTAACGTGCCGCCTTCGGGGACTCGCCAAGGACAAGCAGGACAAAGTTGTCAGTAACGCAGACATTGCAGCGCGAGTCCATGCACTCGATGTTGGCAGAGTTGGCCTCTTGTACTTGCACCTCAAAGTAGGCCTGCCAGCAGGGTAGACAGTAGCCGTGCCCACAGGACATGCCGTAGAGGCGGGCGGCTGAGAAGGGTCCGAAGCTAGTGGCTGATTCGCCGGTGTTGCTGCCGCAAGTCGACGGAAGCTCAGTTCCCGAGGCCGTAGCCGCCGACATGGCTGCGATCTCCAGGTGTTCCAGAGTCGAGGGTGGCGACAGGCAGACGGGACAAAATTCACCCTTTGTGTTGCGCTCTGTATGGTAGGCATAAAGGTGGGATGTAAAAGAGTTGTGATACAGCTTGTGGGAGTGGCAGGCCTTGATGCACGCAGTGGCCCTCAACTTGACACCCGACAAAATGGTGTTCCGCGCAGCGGCCAAACCGTTTCCACTAGAAAAGAGAACCTGTGTTATGACAAGAGTAGATGTGGCGTAGCCATTGCGTCCAGTCTCATTACCAGTCTTTTTGACGCAATCTTGTTACTGGATAGTGATGAGACTGGAGAGAATGTGGCCGACTCCACGCAAAACATCATCAGCACTCGGTCACCTCAAATACTCCACCAATGCCTCCAGTAGAGCCAACATGACATCTCCAAAAACGTTTTAGGAAACAACATGCAATGCCGTAGGTGGTCCAGGCTAAATCACGTTGCTTTCTCACTACACCCCCTCGTGAACCATGGAGGAATTCGACAGATGTTTGGGGTGTCTGAACAGCCTTACCTAGGGACATACTGTTTACCGTTTCATTGGGGAAGGACTAAAGAACGTGCTCTAAGGATGCGGGTTCATGTGGTCAGCACGACTGACTGTGGCTGGTCGGCGCAAAACATCAAACAGAAACAACGCCCGTCCCAATCCCTTTCCCCGTCGGCCAGTGAGATCGGTTAATTTGGCAGTTTGGAATTTCTGTTCCCTTTTAAATAACACAATGACCAACAGAACAGAAAGAAGGACCACTTCGACTGTCCGTGGACTCGCCAACTACAATGCAAACATCACCGCCTTCAATGAGACCCGTTTCTCTGAGCAAGGATCGCTGGACGAAGTAGGAGCAGGCTGCACTTCCCTCCAGGGCGGCCGTCCAGAAAAACGAAGTGTCGGAGTTGTCTTCGTCCCCAAAAAGACGTTGTCTGGAAGCTGCCTTTCTGCCTTTAACGGTCAACTCAAGGCAGTGTGGATTACACTCCTTGGTAAGGAACTTGTCAAAATTATCAGTCTACGCTTCGAGGACGATAAAGTCGGGTGGTGTGAAAAACAAGTCCCACAAAGGTCCGCACGTTCTTGTGTCTGTGAAAACGTATAAAATGCTTAATCTCGGTGACTTCGATGCACGAGCCGGAATAAATTACGCTGCCCAGAAGGGCGTGGTCGGTCGCCACGGAATAGAAGGCACTGGGCTTCTGTTATTAAGGACCGGTGCAGAACACAATCTAATCATCATCATCAACGCCGTATTTCGTCTTCTCGACCGCCAAAAGACCAAGTCGCTGCGCCCTCACTCACGTTACTGCTAAATGTTGAAAAATGCGCTCGTCGCGCGATTAGATTGTTGTGATATACTTGTAATTTTAAAAAAACATTCTAGGTGTGAGATGCTAAACTGATCACTGTCTAGTCACCGCAGATACGAGGTTGCAAATTAAATCACTAAAGTAACATCAGGGGTAGACAGCATCGAAAAAGACCGAATTCTACAGTACTGAATCATGTTGAAAGCGAATGAGGTCTCACCCACAGAATGCACGCAAACCAGTGTCATATGCAGATCTTGGGAGGTAAAAGGACTGAGAATATGTGAAGCAGACTGTGTGATGCCATCTACACGACTGCTGTCGAAGTCTTTGGACCTGCATGTCGACAAAACTAAAACCGGTTTTCAGAGAAGCATCCGCCTCATGAAGCCTGTACAAACATAACATGACCCTGAGCAAGGTATCCTTTTCCCGGTGCCGACACCAGGTCGCGATAGAAACTGCGGGGAATCTACAAGGACTCGCTGGCTCTAAGGATACGTGGGTCGTGCTGGAACAAAAAAAACTTCACTCCCATTAAGACAGTCTACGTAGCCCAGCACACTGCAACTATGCCTTTGCTCAGAACAGACAGAACCACGCGCCATCAGAGGGATTGGAGATCTTGGAGAGCTGAGACCAGCATGGCTAAACTTCACCAGTCATCCCACAGCAGCCGTGTGGGGAAGTGCAGCAGATATCTAGTGGAAAAGCCTCGGATGCCGACTCTACTCTAGCAGAAGTCTACGAATACGTCGGTTTTCGACTTTTGGAGAAACCGACCTCGTTGGTCTAAAAGATGTGGAGATAAGGCCAATTTCTATAAGAATCCAAGGGCTCTACCCCTATCCACCTCTGCAACCGAAGAGGAAACGGATAACTCTGTGATAATTCCTGTAGAATCTCTCCTCTCAGTAGTGCTGGCAAAGGCTTTGCTCGAGTCCTGCTCAACCGTTCCATTTTACACTTCCAGTAAACGCTTCCTCAGAAAAGTAAATGTGGGTTTTGGAAATATCGTATAACAATCCATATTGGGTCATAGTAATATCGGATATTATGATATTCCTCGTGCGAAAGCCAGTGAAAAGGCGTCAGGAAATTAGAATCAGCCTCAACACTACCTTTGCAGGTCTCATTAGGTATTTTGACACAGTGAACTGGGACTGACTCTGGAAAGTTTATGAAGCTTGGACGCTGCAAAAGATTTATATGCATAGTAAGGCGACTTCAAAACAAAGTTATGGTAAGTGTCGCAGGTAACGGATCAAGCACGAAACCTTCGCTGTGACAGGGTTGTGTGCTTGCTCCAAGCTTTTCCAACCCCTTGTTCTCAATAATGGTGGACGACTGCCACGAAAAGCGATCGGAGCTCGACAGTACTCGGCAAACCGACGGGAAAGTGTTCAGCATCCGCCGTATGCAAGCCTATAGGAGAACTACTACAACCAAGATAAACAGCATTATCTTCAGTATGTTATTACCGGCAATGACAAGGGAGACTGGAATGGCCGTTTCTAGCTTAGTAGCCGTCGTCAACCAGTCATACCCAACCCCGAAGTGTGGAACACCCGAGGCTCGAACTCGCGACCTGTTAGTTAGAAGTCCAACGCCTCTAACCACTACCCAACTGGGGTTGGGTGGGACTGGCTGACGTCGGCTAATAAGCCGGAAATGGCCATTCCAGTCTCCCTTGTCTTTGTCGGTAATAACGTACTGCCCATATCTTGCGCCGCTGTGCGGCTGCTGGTTGGGCTCAAGAGAGAGCCCGTAAGGCACAACGGAACGAGTGAGTTCCGTAAGAACGATCGGTGAACGCCCCTCTACCACCATAACATTATCTTCACTCATGATTTCACACCGTACACAATTGAGGTGGATACGCAGCGAAGTCTGGACTTCATTGTCCCCGGACGAGCCTGTTTCAGACTAAGCATCAACACGGAGAGAGTAGTTATTATGCATCCACCAACACTAACCGTGAAAATATAGTGCACCCTCAATCATCGACGACAATTACCTCAACACTGTGAACCAGTCCTCCTACATTTGAAATACCAAGATCGGCGGTGAACTTGTAGCCCGAAGTTGCAAAGCCAGTCAAAACCTTGACAGGCTTTGTTCTTCTGAATGGAATCGCGAGGTCCCTCTCCTCAGCATCAAAATGCGTAGGGTTAGTCTTGGTAAAACTTATATACGGACATAGGCAACCAACTAGAAAAACACACAAACAACCAGAAGCACCTTTGCATTAATTGTCTATGTAGCATACAAAAGGTGGAGTGGTAAGAATGAATTATGAACACCCAGGTCATGGAATCGCCCTGGGTGCTTAGCGAATTAACAAAGCCAAGGAACGACTACGTCCCATGGATGAATGAGGAGCGCCTGTCAAAAGGACTTTTCTACGTCGGCGTTGTCTGTGTTGGTCGCCCAGAAGCTCACAGTCGACGTCACCAAAACGCTTTGGAAAATCCACAAAAGGCCTTAAAGTAAATCAAGACAAGTGGTCCGACTTAGCCCGACATTCTGAAACGTGTAGAACTACTTGGACAGATGTCGGCTTCATGCCGACTTTTGTGACGTTTGGATAACGCGTCGAGTACACAGACATTTTTAAGGATTGTGAAACCTTGCAGGTAGCATCGATGCAGGATACGCCGCCCTTAAACTGTCCATTTGGCAACAAATCTGCTCCGATGTATTTGAAACTGTCCACTTCTCAAGGTTAATAGTCACTAATCCCCAGGCACGCCTCCTGGTCAGAAATGCAGTTCTAAAACCTTTTGGCATTCCCGGAATCTATGAATAAACCAACTGGCTTAGCGACCTCATTAACACGCGACACCACATTATGCAATCCATCATAGTTCGATGCTAGCAGAGCGATACCGTCAGTCTGTTCCGGTTCAGCCAGTCGGCACCCGGGTGTAAAGTTGACACGATCAAAACAATGTAGACACTTCCGAGAATGCAGTTGACAATGTGATTGAACAGGGTGGGCGACAGAATGCAATCTTGTTGAACGCCAGGTCGAATACCCAACGGCTGAGAGAGGGTTACTTTGGATTCGAAATCACACAGTGATAATGACAACGAGCCTTGATCACAGCAATTATCTTCTGTTGGCATACCGCCATTAGGACTCAAGATGGACGGAATCCAGCGCTACGGCGAAGTCAACAAAGTAGGCAGCCTTCGGTCGCTGGTAACCCTGGCAAAATTTAAGAATTCGCTATGTATACATTCCGAGATTGGAACTCAGCTTGTTAGACCTAGTTCTAGAGGCACACACGCTGAAATCGCTTGAGAATTAGCGTGGTAAGGGCCTTTTCCGAAAAATCGAGGAGACTTGGTCTGGTAGTTTCTCTTGAAAAGATGCACAAGAATGGGCGAGCCTAAGTCGTCGGAAAATAGCTCACCCAATGCCTGCTGAACGCAAGGCTTAGAAACGTAAGCCGGAATGGCGCTGTAGAGGAAACAGGGAAATGCTGGCTAGACGATACAAGTCGAGACGCTGTTCGAAGTGCTCAGGCTGACGCTCGGTCCTGCCAAAGCTATCAGCAATTAAGCCGCCACTCACATCGTGAAATTTTCAGTGTGCGAGAGCTAGCACTAACTTGGTGAATAGTTTTCGAGTGTCACCAATGTCTGCGATCTGCGCCACAGAGGCCGTCACTTCAGTCCAATAGCCGACTTCGCTGTCATTTTTCAGGGTTGGCAAGAGGAACCATCATGGCGACACTCAGCCGGAGCTGTCTGGGCAAGCAACTATAAGATTCTCGGTTCTATCCAATTACTGCGGCGCCGCTGGATAAATCCAAGAATGATCCCTGTTGTTTTGCGGATTGCGGACTTCAGTGACGACTTTTTGCGATTGCTTTACACTTCGACTCGGATTAAAAAGTGGTGACGGATTTCTGTGCTTAGACCACCGGTTGTGTTGGGTTGTAATTTGTCGAAATTGAGGCGCCTTGCATGTGGCAATTTAGGTGTGGATAATATTAACCTTCAGATATGTAATAAGGAGAACATGGACTGACCTCTGGCAGTTGCCAATTTCGACATCACGCACCAATTGGCTATCATGAGGCCAGCTACGAATGAATGGACTGACTAGAATGTGGTAGGGGGGCTCACTCTCGAGCCCAACCAGCAGCCGCACAGCGGCGCATGATACAGGCAGTATGTTATTACCGACAAACACAAGGATGACTGGAATGGCCATTTCTGGTTTATTAGCCGTCGTCAGCCAGTCATATCCAACCCCGAAGTTTGGAACAACCGAGGCTCGAAATCGCGACCTGTTAATTAGAAGTCCAACGCCTCTAACCACTGGGCCATGAGCCCGTTGCCCTGTCGGTTTCGATCGGGAATATACAATGGTAGAGGACGCTCACCGATCGTTCTTACGGAACTCACTCGTTCCATTGACTAGAATGTATTCCATTTGACTGACCGCATGACCATCGTTTGAATACGAGATTTGTCGGATCCGGTCAGCAAAGTTCGACATTCTTTCACGACTGTCGCATCGAGAAACAAGCTCGGAGTAGTCAGCAAGGCAACCGTTTGTTGAGTCGTCGAGTTTAATTCGGTCAGTCCAGCTCCCAGTAACAATCAGAAAATCATGAAAAGGGAGTCTTCCGATCGGTCCTTGCAGTTGCGAGTAGGGCTCTTTATTGCGCTGCTGTTTTGTGTAGACGGAGACGACGGACATGTTAGCAAAGTGTCCCTTCAGTAAAGCAATTGGTCGGAACTAGTTGCCACGCAGGTGATACATGATTTACCCGTCGAGAAAGAGTGATCAGCATATCGTGTCTACCAGAGCAGTAGCGTAAACTGGTGTGGTAGAGGGCGCAGTTGGGGTTGACTCCTGGGATAGTAATTTTTCAAGAGTTCAAGTCGGGGATTAGGAGTCCAGACAAGAGGCATACATCTGGGTATTGTTAATGAATATTGTGCGCTGTCAGACTTTGAGTAACAGAATCGGAGAATGGTAACTCATCCTAAAACCCAATATCAGCGGTCTGTTAACGATTGACAAATGCAGAACGCCTACTATTCGGCAGTAGTGCTGTACCTGTGTTACGGGGCAAATCTAATTTCGTGTGCAAGTGGCTCCTGAAGAACAGTTTAGATTGCTTGAGGTTTTCTCCCCTAGCTCTATGGTCCCGAAAAATGAGGCACAAGGCAGAGACAGCAAGCAGACTATTAGTAGCGGTTCAAATTGACCTCGTCACAGTGCCATCATCAGGCTTTTTAGCACTGTGCAAAGCACTGTGCCTGAGCAAGTTGTGGCAAAACGGACATGCTGATGAATCTTCATCCGCGTGCAATTATTATAAAAATTCAACATAGACCATACGAAGGGGACGATGGTCTATGCCATCATGTCCGAAATAGCCGGAGAACACACAGGCAAGGATGAGGGGAAGAAATGAAGGGGTGTTGAGCATATAGGCAGGAGGGCATGCCTGTCGATGTCCTGATGCACTACGCCCTGTTTTTAAAGCATATGAGAAAAACATATGAGAATGTCTTCTTTCAAAAGCAAACAGTCAGTTGAGCGATCACAGTTTATGTGAATCTCACTTCTGTTCTGTCATATTAAGGAAAAGGGTATTCGGGTTCTTAAACATCGGTAAAACTAAACTCCAAAATGATCAAAAAAAGTTAAATTTTACAAATGTTTCGGATAAGGAGGCAAAAGATTTCGGGGTTGACCTATACTGTAATCTATCGTGAAAAATGATAATGGTCTAAAATTCTGATATGTTCATGGACTCTTCCAATTAGTGCTTCAGTCTGGGCGCGAAACCCCGCATTTTAGAGCTAATCCACTCGATTACATATGCCAGCAAGGGAACCAAATGAAAAGTGGAAAAACGTGCTAGTAATCACTACAAATTGCTTACGTATGTGAGCTAGGACTCAAGACAGGCGATGGCATAATCCGCATTCATTGCAATGCATTGCATTCATTCAATGCGTGCTACATATGCCGTCATTTTTAACCCGGTGTGGTTTCTGCAGGAGGTCGTAAAGAAGTGCGTTCAAAGGCCGACATCCTGGCCAGTGCGAAATACTGTAGGATTATGCGGCATGATAATCAGCATTGCAACCTCACCTATGTAATCCTTACTAATCAAAAACGCATTCTAGGATTTCGGCCAGCATTTCATGAGATCGGTCACGCACTGTACGTAGATGAAACATTTCTATTGTAAAGAAGGACATGCAACGAAATCCCTACAATCTTTTCAACGCAATCTTCCCCGATATATAATTAACGAGGAAAGAAGAACAGAAGACGAAGGTGTCCTTCCTTGATGTGCTCCTCAGGCGAAATCTTAACGGAGAACTTGACACGACGATTTACAATAAGGTAACGAACACCACACAGCTTCTCAGTTTTCACAGCAACCGGTCAGTGGCCCACATGCGAAACTGCGCGGAAACGCTCTTCAAACGGACCCAGGCTCATTGCAGCACACCGGAGAAAAGAGCCCGTGATGCCCGTTGTCTCCGCGACCAGTTTATACGGAACGGCTATCTGACGGTTTTGCAAGTCGCTGCTTACGCGGTCGCTCCCAGTGGACCCAAACACCAATACCATCAAGTATGTGGCATTCTCTACCAAGCATTAAGGACGTTGCAGAAGCGATTGAGTGAATTGCTGTGGAACTAGATGTTGGAATTTCGAGCTGGCCCAGAGCCACCATGCGCAGCAAGGTCATGAAAATTAAAGACATGGTAAATCCCAATGAGCAATCTGGGGTGGTGTATCGCATTCAAAGCCAGAACTGTCATTGTAACTACACAGGTCAGAATGGACGCCTCCTCTGATCGCGCATACAACAAAATAAGGTGACTGTGCGACGAGGCGACGAATTATCGTAAGTGACTGTCCATACCTACGAAGGGAGTCGGGAATTTAATTTCGCAGTCACCAACATAATCACTCACGAGGGAAGCAAGATGAAAAGCGGTCGAAGCCTGAGTCTCGGGTAAGAGCTCAGTCAGCCGATTTATCGATCTGGCAGCGGCGTACAGAGCCTTGCGTAGTCACCTCCAGTTTAAAGTCATCGACCAATGGTTGAGTAGCACCCCCTAAAATGTCAATCGTTCTGTTGTGGCCACTACCCCTGAAAATGGATTTCTGCGCGCGTTCGAAAACTCAGAATAAAAACAAACTCTTCGAGTGCTTGATAAGTCTTTTCTTTCACTTAATTATGTAATCTGATCATGATCAACGTGGTTCTCACTTTAACAGTCACAGCTGTCGTTTGCAAGGCTTTAAACTGGTATGGTAACTCCTGCCACGGTACTGATGGTCACGTTGCAGTGGTCCCTTAATGTGGACTTCTAACATTTCACTAACATGACTTTCGGATTGGCGAGATCGGGTCCGTGATGGTTGACGTACTAGTAAATGTCGAACGTGTTTATTTATGATGGCCAGTGCGTACACACTCATTTTAGATAAACTCGACTAGGATTGACAGTCGAATGTGAAGAAGACGGGGGGCGGAGAGGGGTTGACGCTATGCAGGCCTCCTCCTCCTCAAAATCTAATTCACGGAAAATTCACAATGACGCCCAAATTAGTGGCAGTCTTCGGCGACTTCGAAGAATGACCATGTAAACGAACCCTGATCCTGGGTAGCAAACCTGCCTGCAATTAACGCACATATACTTCGTTAAAGCGAGTTAGCATTGCAGACTCGGGCATCACACTGGCATCTCCCTAAAATAGTGTGGAAAGGAAGCCGACATTCCTACCACACAATGGCGACTATCTTTGGACAGAAAAATTACGTAAAATGTTCTTCCTGAGGTATAAAAAACTGTGTATAAAAACGAGGACAATAAATATCAATCTCTTAAGTAAAAGTTACCCAAATATGATTAAATTCACGGCTCCCGGTTGGGCCTCATAGCTCGGGTGGTGAGGGCGTTGGCTGCACCCAAACCTTCCCTTATTGTGGCGGGTTCAAATCCCACTGAGACCGCTAAGTTTCTCAAAGTTAGGTCAAATGAATTATTCAAATCTGCCAAGAACACTAGTTAAACCAAATTTTCTCTAACACGTACGAAGGAAATCGAACGCAGCCAGAAACCACTTCCACATACTGGCAGACACATGTTTGGGAGTAATGGTCGCCCATTCTTGATGACACTTACGCCCTTTTCTTTAGTTCTGGGCGTGAAGAACTGTCATCTAAGTGTTCTTTGCTAAAAGAAGCAGCGGAAATGACTTATCTCTAGTTCGCTCTACGGTCAATGAGACGGAGTAGCATATAAGGCAAAGGTACATTAAAACGCCGAATGATTTGATGGCGATTGGAAAAATGGTAAGGCACACCTTTTAATTTAATGCCCGGGGAGCGTCGATTGCTCTTCTGGTTGTGATTTATAAGCGCAATGACATTCCCGAAATCCGGCGCATCGGAGGTGTAACAGTATCCATTCTGTGGAATGAGCAGGATGGACGATAAAAGCGAACACGGATTTCGTAAGAATTCCTGTTCGACTTCTTGCAAATCCCACTTCCTTTTCCGAAGAAACAAGGCTGTCAGCCAGGGCGGAACCTGTGAAACTCTAAATTAATACCAAATTACCGAAATCTTTTTAGATAGGAATTGTATATCCTTGTTTAAAATTTGATCCGCTTCATCTGAATCAATAGTTTTGCACTTCAGATCTTCTGAAAGCTCTTTTTCATTATGCCTAAGACATAAGATGAAGGACGAGGTCACTTTTTCTCCAATTCCTCAATCTCATTGTCATCCGACAAGTAGTAGTAATCATCAGTTTCATCAAAATCTTCTTCAAACTTCTCACTTTCGCAAGCCTCTGCTGAGAACTCCATCTAAGAATGACGAAATAGCGACAGGACTAGACTCAGTAGGTGAGTGATTAACATCCTCGCCAAGAATTTGGCCTATTAAAACTCGATGCAGGTATAAATGTAGAATTTATTTGACAATTGAGGATTCCTAAAGAGTCTCTTGCTTTCTCGTCAGAATTGTAAAGTTGGTTGAATATAAATGGAACACTAATTTGTCATTCTGGAATACAGAAACAGTGATTATGGGCACTGCCTTCTCTGACAGGCCACCCGAAATGGCTGGAATGCTATGATAAGCACACCTAAGGCTAACCCTCAAGTGAACGTTGTGCGTGGACGTGTAAAAAGGAAGATTTGAAAAACAACCTGATCTAATAAAACGGAAAAGTGGTCGCGAGAGACTGACTGGAATTCCCAAATGCTCGAAAAAATGTCAGAATGCGTCAAAATGGAATCATTAGCAGAAACCAGCAAACATGCCTGAGTGATTTTTTAATGTTTTAAAGTAGCTTCGGAGCTCGATTTGGCCGTGTGAAGCGTCGTTGGCCTGACTGGAAGTGTGTTCAAGCATGGACATGTGCACGTATCCCGCATATGCAATGTCATCACAACGGAAATAGTTGACATTTCTGTGTAGTATACGAATCTTTTTATTGTAAATGTCAGTGTTTATTTAGGTTTACCTTAGAAAAACACAAATACAGGCATCTCTGGAGCAAATTCAGGATTAATTTTGTGGATAGGAGTATTAATAAGGGAAAAGATTTATAAAAAGCCTCATCGTCCGATGTTTGTTGCTCCACTCTTCACCCACTCTCGTCTAGGACAATTGATTCTGGGCAAATTTGTCCATACTAAGCTAGCGTTTCCAGGACTTCAGAATTGAGGAAGCCCGCGAGACATTGCAGGCTTTACTGTAAGTACGACTCCACTGTTTGTGAGCAATGAATATAATTCAGTCACCCTACTCTATGCGTGCAGAGCTTACGTTTATTCTATCATCGATCAACTATGCTCACCTTAGAATGGAGCAATAATTGCCCAAATCCCGTAGCGTTGCTTTGCTTGTTGACAAATAATATGGCTTAAAACATTATAAAAACGAATTATTATCAGTCTTTTACTGATTTCATTTACCTCGTTAATGAAGCAATACTGAAAGGTAGCGTGCCCACAATTTGAGCTAACACTATCCTCATCCTCGCAAATTTACAACGGGAGAACATGTCCCCCTCTGACCGATTCCTTATCTGCAGCTCGACGGACTTCTCCAAAACTACGAACGATTGAGTCTTTTTGCCATTTGTTTCTTGCAGTTGATCTGGTTAAAAACCGCTTCTCACTCCAGCGAACACGCTCAGCAATCTTTTAATGAATATTTGGTGCCGATAATACATCCTCAGGACAGCGTCCAAAGAATCCAACAAAAATTCCAATTGAACCACATCACTGTTGAAGTGCAACCAATAATGTGCCCACAAAACAATGGGCACATGATGGATGGGCCAAAATAAATAAAAAAATAAACATTAGCCGTAGTAAAAATGCCCGAGGATCTGTGTAGTTTGCTATCAAGTCACCTCCCACCAAACAGTCTAATACGCCGCATGGATGTCTAGTACGAAGTCGAAACTTTACGATATGCTCCGTAATCCTTCAAAATTATTTAGAAATAGAAATAACTATAGCGGTCCTAAAACCGAGATGGAGAAGTTGAGAAATCTTCCCCGCTATTAAACCAAAAGGAGAAAATCGCTTGCATCCTAGGTTCAGAAAAGAGGAAGAAACGTATGCAAATACGGCTCCTTATCTCTGTAAACCAAGGAGGAATAAAGCAGTGAGTCTATGGAGCTCGGCGTGAATGTGAATCGGTGTGTTTTGCGAGAAAGGGGCAGCCGGACTGTATCACAGAGGGCAAAAGCGTCTCAGAGCATGCCATAAAGAAAAAGAAGGTCAGATTAGGGAAGAGAAGTTAAGTACATTGCTGGCAGAAACGATGCTCCCGATTGTAGCGGATGACCGAGAAGCCTTAGTAAACGCGAAACCATGCATTGGCAGTGCCACACTAAAACTTCCTCAACCGAGACCATAACCGTGCTATCCGTAATAAAGCCAGCTCACGTAAAAATAAACCACAAGGCCCTCAAGTTGATCAAAATTAATCGTCATAAAGGGCATGCCTGGGCCTGCTTCCAGCGCCCTGAAAGACAGAATACACCGGGACAAATAAATGTCTAACTAATATCTCAAACTCCTCTTAAAATGTGACGAGGAAGTAACCGCATCAAAAGCTTTCAGGGCGGACTGAATAAAAAACTAAAAGAATGGGACGAACCGACGAGACCGCTAAATATTGTCCTCCGGAGTTAGGAACAAGTACCGCAACTGTTGAGCAGGAAACCCGCACCCCGAAATGACCGCTCAACAGTTTTAAACAGCATACTTCACCTGCAATGAGAGAGCAGTTTAGAGTGGTCAGAGCAGAAGTCCTCAGGAGGTCCAGCCTGGACGAGAGTAATCCAAAAATGATGAATGGACAAATTATACATGTCCAGAGGTCATTTCCGCGCAAAAGCTTATACCCCTAACAGCTTATGTAAAATTAATACCAGTCCATCTCGATCAGCACAGCCAGGCTCCTGCATTCAATCCCACGAAATGGAAAGACGCTTGTGTACCGGCGTTACCCAGGCCAAAATTGAGATTTTTTGTATAAAAATGCTTAAAGTCCCGTTAAGAAACTCGATGAACTCAAAACGTCAGTTTCGGAGCAAGGCTCTGATGCCATTGCCATAACAGAAACATGGCTGAAACCTGAAGTTGCGGCTACCAAGAGTTCGATACAGGGTCATCAGCTCTTTCTTAGAGACCGTCAAAATAGACTGGTCGGTGGGGTAGTCATAAATGTAAGGCAAAAATTTCGACAGTTGAACGAGCCCACACACTCTCTCTTGAGTTTGAATCCGTCTGAATATAACTAAAGGAGAGTAATAAAATAAGCCTGGAATTACTGATAGCTTACGGACCATCAAACCTTTCGAGTGCATTCGACGGGTCATTCCTTTATTTGATCGAGGAAGGAGCTGGCTACCAAGAGGTTCTTATCGCTGAACATTTCGACGTGCCTGCAATAGACTGCGAAGATTTGGCAATTGACGGTAAGTCTACTTTCTTCAGCCGTAAGCTAAAAGACCTCACACTCGACCTCCCTCTCGCACAGCATACAATGACGCCAACGAGATTTTGAGAAAGCCAGAGGGCGAATTCCTTTGACCTAGTTTTTACGAGAGCCTCCTCTAACATTGACAAAGTGTATTTCAGTGTACCTCTCAGAAAAACTGACCATATTACGCTACTGTAGGATACCTCGCTCTATTCTCAACGGCTGGAAAAATGGAAGGCAGCTTTTAACATGATGGAAGACCGTTTGAACCGTTTGCTCAAGGGGGATCCAGAGGACGACTGGCGATCTTTTAAGGCAATTTGACTAAACCTGTTTAGGTGTTGTTGTGCAGTGACGGTTGAAAACCTACTAGTCGTCCTACTGGTTAACCAGAAACCCTAACAGACAGTTCAGAAAGAAAAATAAAAGGTGGAATATATCTAGAAAACCTCGCGGAGTTTCCTGGCCAACGAAATGCGGCCACAAAATTCATCCGTCAAGCAAGGAAGGCCTACGCATACAAAAATATCCAGCAAGATAAACAAATCCTAAGATTTTATTTCACTTTATCAACAGTCGAATAAAAAAAACAAGGACCCAATTGTAGCACTTAAGAATAATAATGACGTACGAATCGCTAAAATGCCGAGAAAGCCGAACGCTTGGAACGACTCTTTGCCTCGGTTTAACTAGAGAAAAGGAGTTCCAGAACCACAATGTCAGCAATGCTGCCGTAATCGCTGGTCGCATGTTTGAGTCTTTACTCTTCCTAGCATCTGTCGTAGAAGGATAGCAGCAGAGTCTCAAGGAAGCAAAGAAATCGGGTCCGGAAAACATGCCGCCATGATCTTGAGAGAATTGGCGATCGAAATCTTCAAACCGCTTGCGCATGTCTTTCATTCGTCATTTTAATCAGCGAGACTGACATCCAAAACGAAGACAGCAAATATCTACGTGATATACAAGAGTGGGTCTCGAGCAAATAACAACAATTGTCGACCTACCAGCCTAACCGGAATTTGCTGTAAAGTAGTGGGAACCATACTTAAGAAAGCAACAATGGAGTTCCTGGATGAAAGCCATTTATGCTCAGGACTGTAGCACAGCTTACGACAGAACCGTTCTTGATTTTCCAGTTTATTGCTCGCGACTGAGCAGTGGACTCACGCACTGAGCGAGGATGGTAGGATCGTCGTCATCTACACCGACTTCAAGAAGGCGTTTGTCGGCGTTCCATACAAACGCCTAACCTATTAACTGTCTGAAGCTGAGATAAAGGGAAAGCTGCCGACGCGGATCGCAGATTTTCTTACGGGAGAATCGCAAACTGTGTACGTTGATGCCTCGAAGTCTACCCCTACGCCCGCACTAAGTGGCGTACTTCAGGACTCAGTCGTAGGGTCGTTGCCCTTCGTAGCCTACATCAACGACTGTGCCAAAGATTTGGGTTGTAGCGCAGTAATGTTCGTTAACGATGATGAATTGTGAAGAGCAGTCAGATCTAACGCAAGCAAGTATCCACTTCAAGACAGTTTCAACGAACCCAGCAACTGCTCTGCTCATTGGCTCTTAAACTCTGACGTTGTTAAGTGTTTAGTCCAAAAGACTTCGTGCCAAAATGACCAGTGACGGGATGATTCCTTTCAACAATTCCTTGGTGGGTAGCCCCTTTCATATTTTAAAGAACGCAAAGACCTCAGCGTCCTAAGTGCCAAAGATCAGCCAAAGGAGTGATAAGGGGGTTATTTGCGCTGTGGCGAGGATTTGTGCAGATCGATACGGAGATATTTGGAAAAACCTACAAGGCATTCTTTCGGTTTCACTTGAAGCATGTTGTTCAGGCCTAGCGTCTGTGATTTAAGGATTGTCAGCAGCTGGACCGAGTGCATGCGAAGGCTACGACGATAGTCAAGATTATTGGTCATCTGCCTTACAAAGCCAGACTGGCTGAACTTAATTTATTTTATATCAATTGCAGGCAACTGCGCGACGAATCCATCCAAGCCTACCGGATTGTAAGAGGCCGTGAGTGTGCTCTAAACTTCGGAGACTTCTTTGAATGGCCGAGGACGGACCTTCTGCAGGGGCATCCCATCAAACTGTAGAGGAAGTTGGTTTATACGAACCTCTGACGAAACGCCTTCCCACAGAAGGCTATTGGAGCGTGAGACGGACTCCCTAACGCGGTGGTCCTTTCAGAATCTGTTGAAATATTTAAGTGCAAACGAGATACTCATTTGCTGAGAAACTACTCTACATGACAGCAAGGTTGTTTCAATGGTGGCAGTTTGCTCCTGACTCGCAGATGTCGACGACTACAATTTCCGGAGTTACTGCTGTGCAACTTGATTTTCTCGCCATGTTAGAATATGAATAGGAAGCTCAAGAGCGGAAGCCTTGTTGCCTAAATAAAATGGCTTATCTTCCTTCAAGCTTCCCCTCCCCATGGTAGCTACCGACAAGTTTACCCCTGTTTGAGCTATCATAGTATGCGGGTATCAGAAAACTGCATTCCTACATCTTCCAGATCTCCCTCTCAATCTTTTGTCGCTGGCCCTCCATTTCCAAATACTTCTGGAGCCGCTGGTACTTATTGCTCAACTAATAATAATTTGCAGCCAACTTATCCAACTCCTAGTTTTTTTCTAAATGACGTTGTCCATAGACACACTGCTCGGAATATTATTAAATGCTTTTGGCCCCAACTAGGGCCTGACTCTTCCTTTTTATGCTTGGCTTTGATTTCTACCGTCAAGACCGCATAACTAGGCGTGTGGGCGGTTGCTTTCTTAAGGCACTTCGCGTACGACATTAATGCTCCTTCGTTTTCTGAGAATTGCGGCTTCGCATCTACTATTATCCCACTGCAAAGAAAGATCATTATTGACTCCATCTACATTCCTCTTAAATCAGCATCCGACAATGGTACATAAATGAACGCAATGTTTAAATCAATTTCAAAATTTTTCATTTGTGTAAAAATAATCGCTGGAGATTTTTGCTTTTCTGCAAGAGACTGGCTTCCGAACATCTGCCTCCCCAGATTCCAGCCTTTTCAATATATTATTAATCTTTCTAACTGGTTTCAGCATATCCCCTCACCAACGAGAAATAGCCATATTCTAGATCTTATTTCTAAAAAAAATGACATTACTCCCTTCCTGTGGTTTTCAAAGAGGGTTTTTTCGATTATGACCATATATTTATTAACTGTTGCCTTGTCTATTCAAAAACAGCACCCGAAAACTTGCGTACATTTTGATTTCGCAGACAACTTAATAAGTAGCCATTTCGGATCTTTGAATAGGCACATCTTTCTCTCCTGTGATGATGCAGAATTTATTTGTGATGTTATCTTAGTTGTTTCTAAAGGAAGCTTAGAATTCGTGCCTCGTAGATTTATCAAGTGTAAAAGTTCTGCTTCTATTGTTTATCGCTTTCTTTGTAGTAGACTGGACAGTCGACCAACCATGTGACCAGGCCTCCAGCTACTCCCATTTGACATTGATCAAAGGTCAGTCGCCTGTTTGGCTTACCGTCAAAGCTTCTTTGAAGCCAACGTGCACCGGATCTATTGACCGACTCCCCATTACCGATAGCGCTCGGTATTTCATGGATATGGGCAAGTCAGTGAGATATGATGGTCTGCGTGTAATACCTTGTTCATACACACCTACCAAAGTTTTCTTTTCAATATGGCTCAATAACTCCGTTTTTGCATTCCCACCATAAGTTTGCAAAGTATGTTTGTGAGACTGATGAGTAAAAAGCTATGTGGTGATGTCCTCTCGCCCGATTTCTATACGGGACCTATGATGACTTGCTTTCAATAACTAGACAAAGACCCAGTCTTCAGTGAAATCTCAAAATATTCGGGAGCGGGGAAGCCGGTTGGCCAGAGAGTTTTTTTCAAAACCTACGTGGAGAGGGCCTCCGGACTATGGCCGTCCGAAGTTTCAATATTCTGCCTGCTCTGAACGACGCTGTGCAAATATTGTTTATAGTTCTGCAATTTTGGGGATTTGCTCATTCGCCGAAAGTAGGCTTCTTGGTACTTATCAGCGGTGGACATTCAGTTGATGCAATTTTATCTGGGCATTGAATTCGCACAAATTAACCTTGCCGTTGCACACTTGCTCTGATCTTCTGGAGTTGCTAAGTTGTGCTGCGTGCTCGATCTCGAAATCCGCTATTATTCTTTAGGCTGTAACACATCATCGAAAAGGCAAAGTTGCTTAAATCGTTTGGCGACACATTTTGCGGGAGCCTGGACGAGCCCGGAATAACTGTGTCTCAATGAAGATGGCCGATGTTCCTTCCCCGCAACGTCTGACAGTCCCCCGTCTGCTGCTCACTTTTGGCACTTATTCCCCTCCATGACTTTGTTTGATAGGGGACTTACTCTTTTAGGTTTTTCCACGAATTGTGCTGCCGAACTGAAATTTAGGGCACCGAAACAGCCACTTTGCCAGTCCGTTAGTTGGGGTGCCCTAGACTGATACAGTGGGTCCTGCTCGTGTCCTTTTAGTAGGTCATGCAATCGAACCAAGATCATTTCTCGCACTATCAATGTTACGTTGATTTTACGTGTCAGTGTGTTTACGGGGTTGGTTTCGCATGGGACGATCTGTCATAGTGAGGAGCTGACGTGAGTTCCCAAGGGTCGACAGCAAAAAGATTCCCAAATAAGGAGTCCGGGAAGACATATTGGTTTGCGTAAGATTTACTATTATGGAAGAGCGTACGGGAGGCCCAGAAAGCAAAAGCCGTAGGCCGTCTCTCTAGACGTGTCCGCTACGCCTCTGATCTGTCCAAACGGTGTGTGCATGTAGCCAATCAGCAAAGAACCAGCGTTGGTGGACTCCAAACTCTCTCGAGGCAGGTATCAAACCTAGCGTAGTCCTATCAGCGAACCGATAGGAACCATGAGGAGGGCAGGCAGGCATGAACACAGGGTGGCCGCGATCAAGTGAGCAAACTAAAATAGATCCTCCGAAAAGCTTTTGGCTTTCCGAAGGTAGTTCGTTTCGTCAAATACGACAGTAGAACACCCCTTTCCCGAGACATGATGATGAGACCCCTGTTGATCCTGAGTTCCCTTAGTGCATCAGGTTCGACCTTGTGAAGCACATCGCGTGGCCTATGAACCACGAGGAGGGACGACACCTGGTGTCGAGTAGGTTTCTCCATCTAGTCTGTCGCATTCGACTGACTAAGGGTCGACTCAACCGCTGCAATCATGTTAGCAGGCCTGGCATCCGCTGTGCTAGACAAGGCCGCATGCCTTAACACCTACATCTGCTCCCATGCCAGTCCATTTGAGGATATGTTGTGTATTAGCTTGTCATTTTTAGATGGCGCTGATCAAAGCAGCTTGCGCGACTTTTAGTTCGGTGCTACCTCGCGTATTCGCAAAACCTTGAGTGACATTCTTGAAGAAGTACTCGGACCATTCGTCTGTCATGTTGAAATACTGTACACCTCGCCAGCTGTGTGACATATTATTGTCGGCACATCTGCGATGAAATCTACTCTGTGCATAGGTGGACAACTCACATAAAATAATTTTCCCTACCGTCAAGCCGACAGAGGCACATCGTGCCCAAACAGATTGCCGACAGGAGCGAAGAAACGAGTTCCAGGAGGCACTTCAGAGGAAAATGTAATTGCCGGAACAAGGAGTTTATTGGCTTTCACCAGTCTTTGTCTCAGTTGTTGCACGTGCGTAAGCAGCTGTTTCTAAGAAGTTCCTCTTGCTGCCATAAATTCTGTCACCCATCCGTGTAAGTTTAAACGGGAATCAGAACGAGGCCTGAGAAGGTGTAAAAGTAGGGATGTAGACGAGGTCCGCCGCAAAATTTTACGACGGCCCGTCATACATCTGAGGCAATTTCGGCCGGCTGAGGGCCTGAACCATATTCGCCTAGTGTTTATTTAGTTGGCTCAGGTACGCACACGGGATCACCAATCGAGAAATCTGCACGAAGGCCTGCGCGCGACCGAATGGGTCACTAATAGAAACCCGACTGAAGACAGGGGAATCATCGAAAACTGTAATGCAAAGCGTAAGCAGAAGCTGCAGGCCCCATCATTTCTTGCATGAAGCTGCCAACTGAAGAACTGGTAGAAAATAAAAGAAGGGCGAATGTCTGCGATATTAACGACGGCATGGGGGAATAGAAAGCAGATACTTTCCCGCGACCTGGTGGGTGGTGTTAACCGTTCAGTTTCGTTGTTCATCAGCCGAAAACTGAAGGATTACCGTAATGATTAGAAAGGAGGCTAGGAGACGGAGCTAACGCAGCTGAGGAAATGTTCTTCAAAGGCAACTCACGCCTTTCCGGACGTTGTCGACAACAGGACTCGCGGTCTACACTTGACGTCATTAATTTGATTAGTAGCTGACAGTATAAAAAAGGGACGAAGGGCGTTTTCCAGCGACCTTGTCGGTGAATTGTGCGAAACCGACTGTGACCTATCAAATCCATCTGAAATGCTATATAAGACGCAAGCAAAAGCAGCATGGATCAATACGGCTGACTAGATGCCAATCAGACAGGGCAGAAAGTGCTAACAGCAATGTGTCTCAGATTTTATGAATAGCATATGCCAAGCTACCGAAATCAAGCAAGTAGGCACTATATAGGGATATTGCTCGTGCCGATTATTCTGTGTCCTACCGAAATGTATTCGGAGTCATCATGTGTCAATATGTCGTCTGAAGAAGTCGACGAACATCGCGACCTTCACATGCAAACGACTGTATTGAGTTCGAAATTTGTGATGCATGCACCAGTGACAGACGGATGTACCTTCAGCTCAAAGTTGCGCCAACTTGAAGACATCACACGGAAGCGGTGGTGGATTTTACGAGGCCAGAGCACACGCGCACCGAAGATTGCCGCGGGACGTATATCGCCCGTTATTCCATAGCCTAATAAAAATCTGCCTCCAAATTCCGTCTGTGAGCATTGGAGTCGACGTCCAACACCTGAAAACACAAGTTAGTGGCACAGAGTTTCAGAAACAGCTGGTGGGCTGCTTTACTATAGACAGTGTCCGACAACATAGCAGACCACATTAATTTCAGTGACCACAACATGAAGGATGGCCTGGTGGCTCTCCAGTTACAAGACTGTAAAAGGTTGGTTGTTGATTGCGAACCGAAATTACTCCTACATCGACGTAATAGGGTAGCCCACAGTCGATTGATCTCAGCGCTTTCGAAGAAGTCCCTGTACATCCGTTTGAAATGTGTGCATGAACTCTTGGCTCGGGTAGTTAATTCGTTTTTGCTTTCATTCTATTTAATCCTGACTTATAAAACAACGAGTAGGGCATTCGACACGGTCTCCGACTTCACTGCGTTTGAGGAACAGCGGGGGACCGAAAACGAAAGGATTCAGTGTAATACTGATCAGGCACTGCGCATGCTTTTCATTTTTATTTCCATAATACAATTTTGGCGATCCGGGAACCAAAACCGTCTTCACATAAAGATACATGGGAGGGTCAATATTAATAATAACCCGGAAAGGCCATAAAGTGGGCGGAAGGAGTTATATGCATTAGGTCTGCATGACATACTGCAATCGACGGGCCCAACATTTAATCAAGGGTTTTAACATACGTGTCTGGACGCTGGTTTCGCCGTTCCAGTATTGATATTCTGACATCGACGGTACTGTCAAATTTAGCATTGCGCATTATGATCACGGACGCGCGATGCAAAAACAAATGTTCTATCAGATAATCCATTGAATTTCCGAAGAACGGCCGGCTGGAATAACCCAGCCCATCTTTTTTAATTTATTTTCATTTGCCACTAGCCCACGTTCCGCACATCTCTTTCTCCGTCCGCCTCAAGCATCAGTAGAGAAGATTGGCCATACAATCAAACAAAATGGTGCTGATTCGTACAGCCAGGAGGCATGTGAGAACACATAAGGACAATGCTGCTTTCGCCCCTAATAAATATTAGAACTACACACTTACACCTCCTTTGTGAAAAAGAAGAGTGTTCTAACGAAACTGATTGTAAATGAATGTTTAGTTTTATATAGAGAATAAAATATGATGTGCCAGTAGCATAGCATTGCACGCATTACCGATGGCGTACAGTGTCACGGTCCTAGGCCAGTTTCTACGTTCACCTTTAAAGTTATCGCGGAGGTCTGGAGGAAGTACTGGGAAGCCCATCGGGACCTCTTCAGCAGTTAGCGAGGCGCTTGGGTCAGGTAGACATATAAACAGGCATTTAAAATGAGCTGCTCAGACTTAGACATCTTCAAAGGTACAACCACGGCCTATTCCTACAGACCATGACGCCGGTGAGCAGTTCAAGTGTGTAATCAGTTCATGCTTTCGCGCAGACTTCTCACTGGCAAATAGGTATGCAACTGCGGTGTTAATGAGCAATGGCAACATACTCTGTGCGTTAGGCACACGCTTTCTGATCGTGGCGGATATTACCGCATCACATATGCGAAGTAACAAACTTGTCAGAATACTGCTACTACCCCTCCCCCTCTCCCCCCCCCCCACGAATCCTTTCATCTTAAAGGTGTACACGGCCGGCTACCAGTGGAAT